CCCACTTCATGCCATTTGCCTTGGGTAAAAGAACTAGTGGCAGCTCTAGGAATCCCTCGATACTTTCAGGAGCCATGATTTCACCTCTGTGCTTTCACCCTCCCCCCCCAAAGAAAAAGCCCTCTGTGCCTCAGGAGACAATTTCATGAGTAGCCATGGGCAAAAAAACACAATGTATCATTGTGCCAGGTCCCTGGTGATGAGCCTTTTCCCCCTCAGACAGCTGGTCCACTGACAAGAAGCCAACAAGCCCCTACTGGTGTTGTTGGCAGGCATTATGTGCAGGGCCTACAAAAGCTAAAGGGCTTAATGAATTAACAGTTTTTCTCATGCTCATTTGCTAAAAACTAACAAAGACCTCTTCCTGGATGAATTGTATAATACATATACATATACAGAATATATATGCATATTTTGCTTTCTATGTGTGTGTTGCTATATATATCACATACACGTAAGTATGTATATAATATATGAGGTTATGTGCTACACAATGGAAAGGGGACTGGATCTAGAGCCATAGGACCTGAGTTCAAATCCTGACTCTGCCATTTCCTATTTGTGTGTGACCTTGGGCAAGTCACTTAGCCGCCATGGGCTTCAGTTTCCTCATCTACCAAAATGAGGGGGTTATGCTATATCTCTGCTAGCTTTTAGTCTATAAACCTATGTATGCATATGTATATATGTGTATTTTGTATGTTATATTGATGCAGGGCAAGAAAAGGCATGGTATAAACATAAGTATATATAGTATAATCACGGTCTAGACATACAAAGGAAGAAACAGCAATGATAATCTTTTCCCCCCATAAAGTTAAAGAAATGAGGGCTATTCATGAGCCTTTTTTTTAAATCAATGCCTTTTGATTTTATATCACATTCCTTTCCGAATTTAGCCCTCTCCCTTCCTTTTCCCACCAGAATTTCCCTCAGAATAATAATTTTAAAAGAAACAAGAAAAAAACCAGTTTAACAAAACCAGACAATCCATCGACTGCTTCTGCCCACCTCTACAATGTTATTGAGTTGGGGGTCTTGTTTTTTGGTTGAGCTTTTTTTTCTAACGCAAAGTCAGGTGTGCTGCTCCTCAGAGATATCTAGCATTTCATACACGGGGCTGTTCCCTCTCTTGGTTTGGAATCTGTATTCTCTCTTCAGTCCTCACCCCACATGCTGAAGGCTCTTCCCTAGATCTATTGACAGTAGGTGGGCACTGTGGATCACCACCATCCCTCCCTCTGGCAATTCCACCTGCCCCACTCCTTTTCTGGTGATGCAGCCCTCGGTGGGGGGGCGGGGAGCGTGGCGTGCTGGGTAGCTTTCTCTCAGCATTTCCATGCAGTATTGGGCATAGACAATGAACTGGCCCCAGACCAGAAGATGAAGAGGAGACGCAGCTAGATGACCCTTGAGGAACCAAGGGCTTAATGCTTTAAGTGACCCCAAACTTCTCCTTGGAATAAAGGTCTATCTTGTTAGTGCCAGCACTCTGCTGCCCATACTTCATGGCTGTGAGTCATGGGGTGCCAAGGGCTCAGCAGAGTGGTAAATTGGAGGTAAGAGGGGCAGGGAAGGCCTTAGAGTGGAGAGGATCTGGAAAGGTTTCCTGTAGAAGGCGGGATTTCAGCTGGGACTACAGGAAGCCAGGGTGGGCTAGGCAGCCACCCAAAGGGGAACGGAGAGACTCAGAGGAGGCCGGAGCAGGCAGCAGCTCGTTACCCAGAAGGAACAAAATTAGCTGTATTTAGAAGAATGCATCCACCCACTGGCCAAGGACACCGGGAGTGCCTGCAGGCCATGTTCAGCCCTGCCCAGAACCTACCAGAGCTCACCTTCTGTTGGCAGACCTGTGAGAGCCAAGGTCACTCTCCTGACAAGATGAGGCATCTCGGATGAAGATGGAGGAGTAACATACATTAATGAGAGTCCTTCTCACCTTTCCTCCTTATTGTAAAGACTTGCTAAGATTTAAAACTGAAAGAGTGAACTTTGAACAACTTAGAATTGAAGTTGCTGATATTTCTATTTTAGCAGGGAGATGCCCAGGAATCCTCAGCAGCCAGATTCCAGGAAATGAGCTGGTAATAAAACCCATGACCTCAAATGTTTAGAGACCAGCAAACTAGGTGAGGAGGTAAATTTGAGTCAGTTGATGTCACCAAGAGTTGGTGGCACATCTTAATTGAACCCATTCATGACTAGAATGTGACTCAGGAAGGGCAGACCTTAGACAATGAGGCGGGACAGTGGAGTGAGGGTGAGACTTACTTGGAGCCATGAAGACTTGAATTCAAATCAGGCTTCAGAGACTAGCAGTGTGGCTCCAGACTCACAGTGCCCCAGGCAACCCCTTTAGGTCATTGGTTGCAAAGCAGATGCCAATCTGCCTCTGTGAAGGGAATTTCCTCCCTGGAAGTTTCCTCTACAGATGTATCACGGGTTTGGTCCGGGTTTGGTCCATTTTTTTCCTCTTTAATTAACAGGCATTTGTATTATATAATCTCTAGGCTCACATCTCTAGGCAGAATTTTTAGTCCTTAATATTTGAAAGTCTCACATCTTGATTCTGATATTCATCATGTTTGATAGGAAATTTGTGAAAAATCCCTGTGCATCGGAAAGGCCCTTGGACAGGGAAACCTAGGGATTAGAGGGTTGGCAAGGCCAGATTCCTGGCCAAAATCCTCCTTGGGCTCCAGACCTCATCCCCAGTGGGGCCTCCCTGCTGGTCCTCAAACAAAACACTCCATCTCCTGACTAGCTGTGTGAGTAGAGATAAGTCACATTAACCTGTCTCTCTCAGTTCCGTCATCTGTAAAATGGGTACAAGAATGCCTACCTTCCAGTGTTTTTACAAGTCTCAAATGGGATCATTTGGGAAGAAGGTGAATCCATGTATAATCTGTACCAAATGGTTTGCCTTCTCGAGGAGAGGGAGGGAGAGAATTTAGAACTAAAAATTGAAAAAAAATGCTAAAAATTATTTCACATGTAATTGGAAATATATACATAAGAAAGAGGTGGAGCTATATTTGGAGTTCAGTGACATGAGACTAGTTAGACACTATGGGATGAGCCCCTTCAGAGTTGGAAGAAAAGAGAGAAGATTCCGAGAACTCCAAAGAGATGCCTGATTAAGAATCTTTGGCCTCCCCATGGACCATCAGCTCCCTCCGGAGCCAGAGTTGCCAGAAACCCAAGGCAATCCTCATTGAGGACAGCAAGGTTGTGGCTCTGGGCTTCATAGTCACCTGATTCAGAACCGAGATACTGCTATTGGAGACACTTCTCTGAGAGTGATATCTTCTCCATGCTTCTCTGACGTGGAGGTGGGAGCCAAGACCAGCTCTCCTACCCCTCTACCTCAGCCTCGCTCCTCAGACAACAGACACTGGGGACTGCGCTGGTGGGAGGGGCTTCCCCAGCCAATGTTCCCTGCACTACCAAAATCACACACCAATCCAAAATAATTATTTTTCAAGGTCACAGGCCATGTGGGCCCTATGTTTCACAGTTCGAACCCAGGTCCTCTGCCTGCAGGTCTGGAGTTCTTCCTACCACCATGCTTCAGAATCCCTTCCTGGGAATCCCCTCTGGGAAATGAAAGGGTTGGACTAGAAGATGTTCAGTGTCCTTTTCATCCTTGACACTTTAGAATTCAGATTCTGTGAAAGGAGGAGGATGAGGACGCATGCTCCTAGAAAAGAGCCTGGTAGCCATCTTGAGCCACATTCCCTCTCTCCTTTGATATCTGCCTTTATTCTCAAATCTCAGAAACCCACACCTTTGGAAGGATGGCTCTAGTGTTGGCCAATAGGCGCCATCTGGTGGAAGAAATGCTGAACATCTCCCCCACCCCCACTTTCAGTTCCCACCCCCTCTCCAATAGACAGGCCAGAGAAAAAACAGGGAGACTGGCGTGCCTCTGAAAGACACCTTTGAGATAGCATCTGGTTTTTATTAAAGGTACTAAACAAATGGGTGATTCTTTTCCCGAACAGAGGCGAGACACTGTCATATTGTAAATGTACATACCACCAGAGGCCAGGCTGGGAGGGGCATGGGCTACAGGGTGGAACGCGTCTCCAGGAAGGGCAGGGAGCCAAGCACCCTCCAGCTATCCCGGGGCTCTTCAGGCCAGGAGAGGGGCAGCATCGGGGAGGGGAGGTCATGGAAACAGCAGGGATTCACCACCTCTGTCTCTCTTGCCCCTCCGGGCACAGCCAGAAGCCCACTTCCAGGCCTGCTGAGTAATCAGTCCTGCAGAATGCTCAGGAAAGGAGTCTATGTGGATGACAGTCATCGGTCCTAAATGCTGGTGGACCTCAGCCATTCCCTTAGGTCAGCCAAGGAGCTGGATCCTTGCTTACACACTGAGAATTAGGGAGGGATCAGAGAGGCCAGGTTTTCACTCAGTCAACCAGTCACTCCCTATGCAATTAAGGGCCTACTATGTGCCAGGCACCGTGCTAAGCACCAGGAAGACAAAGGCAGACAAAAGCCAGGCCTGCTCTCCTGAGAGCTCACAATCTAATACGGGAGACAGTGTGCAGAAAACAATGAGCTATGTCCCAGGTAAATTGGAGGTAAGAGGGGCACGAAGGCCTTAGAGTGGAGAGGATCTGGAAAGGCTTCCTGTAGAAGGCGGGATTTCAGCTGGGACTACAGGAAGCCAGGCAGAGATGAGGAGGGAGAGCAGTCCTGGCATGGGGGACAACCTGGAAAAACGCTGAGTCAGAACTTGTTTGCCAGACAGCAAAGAGCTCCCAGAAGGAGGCCTGGAGACCAGGGAGGGTTTCAGTCCGAAATTTGGCTTCACCAACCCTCCAGTCTCTAGGTCCCTGAATATTTTCTCTCATTGCAGAAAGGACGAGATGCCGACGGTAATGCCGGGGGGCCCAAGGACTGACCTCTTCTTCAGAGCCAAGAGCCCCAGAGGGAACTGGGCCCTCTGACTTCAGAGTCTCAGGAAGGAAGCCAGCAGCAGACAAGGAGGACCAGGAGGGAACGCAGGGTCTGCAAACAGCCTAGAAAAGCAGCAGAGAACCTGGCTAAGCCACGTGAAGAGATAGGTTCAGGCTGAGGAAGGGAAGTGTCTGTCAATCATAGTTTATGATTTTGTTCATAAAGTGCCACGAACAGAACGGAGCCGGCCAGCAAGAAGAAGCTGCAGCAGCCCGTTAAGAGGAGTCTGGGACAGTCTCAACAAAAGGGCCGGTCATCACGGGCCTCAGAGTAGCCCGGGAGTGGGGGGGAAGTGTCTTCCCAACATCTGACCTTCTTCAGCTGGCAGCATCCAGTGGGGGACGAGGGCACGTCGAGCAGCTGAGGGTCACCCCTGGGAGGCTGGCCACAAAGTTCCCCCATATTCTTCTCAGGGCGTGATCCACCTGCTGGGGGACAGACAGGTAGGGGACAGTCAGGGGAGAGGGATTGTGGCCAAGGGGAAAACTGGGGAACGGCTCAGTGGTCTCAGGTGTTCTTCCCCTTAGGGCCACCAGGTGGTGCTAGGGAGCCAAAGCAAAGTGCTGTGCTTACCCTGAAAACTCCCTCCAATTCAACCCAGTGAGCATCCGTTTCCTCATCTGTAAAATGGGCCTAACAAAATCCTGTACTACATTGTTACGCAGTATTGCAGAAACCTTCAGAGTCAGAGGACCCGGGTTCCAATCCCAGCTCTGCTAGGTGATACTGGGCTAGTCACTCAGCCGCTTTGGTCCTTCGTCCCTTCTAGCTTTACAATGGCAATCACCTGAATTGGAAGCCCAGGGACCTGGGTGCAAATGCTGGCTGTGTTGCTGAAGGCCTGTGTGGCCTTTGACCTCTCTGGGCTTTGACTTCCTCATATGCCAAACAAAGGGAGTAGACTAAGCAACTTCCCCTCCCCAAGGCCAGGATGCTCAGCTTGAATGAAGTCATATGTGAAAGGCGCTCCGTAAATGTTAGTTAAGCGAGGCAAGTGTCAGTTGTGATTCATTCAAACCTGTGTTGAGAATGAACCTTCCACAGGCAAAGCTGCTAGGCCAGATAGTGAGGAAGATGGGAGAAGTGCCCCAGAGGACCGGAGAATTGGTTAGGGGGGCTAGCCGCCCCCCATAACTCCCACTAGAATAACAGCAACAGTGGCTCCCATTCACAGACTAACACACAGTATAGTCTGTGGGTCTGGCCTGTCCCGGAGCCTCAGTGTTCTCATCTGTGAAATGGGGAGAATGATCTGGCTCTGCTTACTTTCCCAGGGCCTGTGAGGACGCCTTGCGGGGATTTGGGAGGGGGCATCTGGGAGGATAGGTAAGGGTGGGGCAGCCCAATGAGGGAGATACTAGAAGCTCCATTATTGCACACGGGGCAGCTGCTGGCCAGGGAAACTGAGAGCTGTAGGTCTCTCTGTCCCATGGCCTTTTGCCAGAAGGGGGAGCCGTGGCTCTCCAAGGAGAAAGGCCCCTTCCCAGCCCCGCTTCTCTCCTTCCTGCCCCCCAGCACTTACCTTCTTGTACTGTTGTATTCTCGGTTTCCCCTGATTCTTGCCTTGCACCAGCTGTTCTGTGTCTGCCAGGCCCTCAGTGGGGATTTCATGAGGAGGGGGATCCAGCCCAGCAGGGAGGCCAGAGCTGGTTTCCAGGCACCGAGAGTGTGGCTTCTCTCTGCAGTGCCGGAAGCTTAGGGCCCTCTGGAATCTGGGGGCCTTCTGGCGCCCTTTGGGGACTAGCCCCTTGCATTCTGAGGGCTCCCCCCAGATCTCCTGGAGTTTGCCATAGGACAGCCGGGGGACCCTCAGGGACTGACTGCGAGTGATCACCATTGCTGCTGGCAGTGAATAATCAGGTCAGGGCTGGGGCTGGTCGTTTAAGTACCCAGTGTTCCTGCAGTTCAGCCCGAGGAGTCCCCACCCAGCTGATAGGTGACTTGGGGCCGAAGGTTGGAGGAGCTAAAGTTCCAAAGTGCAAACCGCATCATCTTCCAGGGGAGAAGGGAGCCCTGACTACCCCCCCTCCCCAGCCCACTCCCAGCTGCCTCCTTGGGAATCCCTCTCAGCTCTGTACAAAGTAGGCAGAACAAGCATCATCCTTCCCATTTCACCAATGAGAACACCGAGGCTCAGAAAACTTCAGACTTGCCCAGAGCTGAGATTAGAACTCAGCTCTCCTGATTCCATGGTCAGCACTCCTTTTACTACCTCCAAGCTAAAGGACTTGACCAGAGTCGTGTGGCTAGCAAGGGTGGGGCAGACGGTACCCAAGCAGACGGTACCTGTGCTGTGTATAGAGGGCTTGACCTGAGTTCAAATCCAGCCTCAGATACTTATGAAATATGTAACCCCCAGGCAAGTCATTCAACTGCTGTCTGCCTCACTATCCCCGACTGCAAAATGGGAATAATAATAGCCTGTGCTCTTCAGGGTTGTGAACATAAGTGAGATAATATTCATAAGTGCTTAGCATGGTGCCTGGTAGGCACTTGATAAATGCTCATTTCCTTCCTTTCTTTCCTCTCTTCTTCCTTCCCTCCTCCTTTTCCTCCTTCTCTCCTTTTTTTCCCTCCCTCCCTTCCTTCCTTTCATCCTTCTTTCCCCCCCTCCTTCCTTCCTTCCTTTCTTTCTTCCTCTCTTCCTTCTTTCCTTGAAGGAGCCTAGGGATTCTGACCTTCACAGCAGCAACCCCATATAATTGATACCCCTATTTTATGAAAAAAGGAAACTGAGGTTCAGAGAAATTAAATGATTTGTCCAAGGACACAATGCTAGTCAGTAGCAGCAAGGTCAGATAGAGGCATGTGAGGACCCTTCCAGCAGAGAACAGCTGGGCAGTGTTGACTTCCAAGTCAGAGGTTTGCCACCAGCTGGTGAGCCCTTTGCTCACCTCATGGTCCCCCCTGGGTCAGGGGTGTTGGGTGCTTGTCCTGGTAGGCTCGTGGCTGTCTTCAGGAGGCAGCAGGGAGGAGATGTCCCACCTCTGGGTTCCCTGTGATCCTGTTGTCACTGGGTCCAGAAGCCGAGCACCACTAGGTGGGTGGGTCCAAGACGATTTCTTGCTTCAGGGCCGATGGTTCCTCTTTACAGATTGTGTCTCCAGAGATCATTCCCTGCACTGCCAGATCAGCTTGGTGGGAAATACTTAGGGTGAGGATCCCAGAACATCTGCTGGAAGGGGGCAGGAGACCTTGGAGTAGAAATGAGAGAGTTAGATGAAGCAAGGTAAGAAGAGCCGAGGAAATAGAGGCTGCCTTGGAGTTCCTCTGGAAGCTGGCAGGGGCCAAAGGGGGAAGAGAGTTTGTGGGGGAAACTTAGAAGCAGCTACCCTCGAGATGGTGTGAGGTAGAGACGACGACTCGTGCTTTGTCAGGGGGGCGAATGAGAAGAAGCCGCCCACATATAGCAAGGTCAGGGACAGAGAGAATTTAGCTACGATGTCTTAAGCCAGTCCGTCAAGAAGCGTTTATTAAGCGCCTACTATGTGCCAGGCACTGTTACTAACTGTTGGGGATACAAAGAAAGACAAAAGACAGTCCCTGCCCTCGAGGAGCTCCCAGTCTAATAGGGAAGCAAGATGCAAGCAACTATTTACAAAGGAGAAATATACAGGATAAATTGAGGACAGTTGAAGAGGGAAGGCATTGGCGTTAAGGGAGAATGTAGGAAGTGGGGGAGACAAGGAGGGAGAGAATTTCAGGTGAGAGGTACAGCCAGTGAAAATGCCTGGAGGGGGGAAATGAAGTAGCTTGTGCCCAGAATTAATGGCTTAGGTCTGAAGGGATCTTTGCAGAGGGTATGCCTCTATTCTCCACCTCAACGAGCAACGGTTTGGGTCCTGGGTCCTCAGGAAGCAGGAAGGGAGTCAGGAGGACCTCAAGTCCTCTTCCCCCACCCCTCAGCTCCATTGGGTGAGTGTTTCCTGTTCACTGGGAGTATAGCAAATAGGAAGGCCAGTACGCCTGTAATGTTGTCACGGAAACTGGAATCCCTTTGAGGGCAAGGATCATATTGGGGTTTTTACCAGCATGTGAGGCAGGGTGAGATTGATGACATTATGGGATTTGGAATGAGGAGACATGGTCTCAAATCTAGGCTCTAACACGAAGTAGCAACATCTCTGACTCTGAGTTTTACTTTTTTCATCTGTAAAATGGGATGATAATATTTGCACCCCCTGCTTCAAAACTTGGGCAGCTAGGTGCCGAAGTGGGTAAAGCGCAGGGCCTGAAATCAAAAAGGTCTGAGTTCAAATCCAGCTTAACACGTTTACTAGCTGTGTGACCCTGGGCAAGTCACTTCACCTTGTCTGCCTCAGTTTCCTTATCTGTAAAATGAGCTGGAGAAGGAAACGGCAACTTTCTCCAGTATCTTTGCCAAGAAAACCCCAAATGGGGTCACGAATTGTCGGACGTGACTGAACAACAAAAACGTCCAAAGTTTAATCAGCTGGGTACAATATTGCTCACCAGGTGGTGCTATCCCTAAACGACAAGCCTAGTCTTAATTAGTTTCTCTCTGGTATCCAGATGCTTGAGTCACAGCCCTTTTCCAAGAGGCTGCAGGACCCCATGGACGCCACCAGAGGGCACTCCGGCTGCAAGCATATGCTCGGCTTCTCCCAACATCAAACTCACCTTGGATTAACCCTTCACGGACCTCTGTGAATTTAATCTGTGGGATGAAATGGATGGAATGTTGCTCAAAACATTAAACTTTCAGTTATACTTAACTCAGACACCACTCCCAGTGAATTCCTCCATTCGCTTCGCATTGCATTCCACACGTCAAACATTTCATATTTTAAGATCTCACAATTTACTGTACATAAAATGAAGTAAAAAGCAAACCACACCAAACCCTCCCATGGGATTAAATACAATCCTCCTGGATCCCTTCCAGATGTGTGGGTGTGGAAGGGAGGAACCCTGCCTGCTTAGGCCCACAGTTCTGGAAAAGAAAAGAATGTGGAGGGACTTATACTCCCCCACAATGTCCTAGACTAAAAGAGAGCTTCTTTTACAGGAGTTCACTAGCTAAAAGGCATACCAATAGCTGGTAGCCTCAGTAAATCTGCCTTTTCTCCTCCAGTAGCTGTCTCTGCTCCAGGATCAGTTCTCCTCTGGCCAGTTCTGGTCTGTGTCTTTCCATCTATCCCCAGTCACACTGATTGTTCCCATTCCTCCTCTCCTGGAATTCTGAATCACTAAGTCAGAGAACAGAAGCTGGGAAGCGAAAAGGGGGCCTTGAAACATCCTGATAGCATCCCCTTACTCTAGCCAGTGTGCTCAGAGCAGGATAGGTTATATTGTCAACTCTCCTAGACTGAGTGGACCAGGCTTATTTCCAGTGGGAAATTGCCCAAATTCTGCTCTGTCTGCCTCTGTGGAAGAGTTTCTGGTCCCTAGGATCACCACAAAGATGAAAATGCAGATTCAGTAGCAGGGAGCTACAGCGATATGGATGTTGTTCCTATGGGCCAACACTCCTACTTCACCTCTGTGTCTCCAGGTTGTATGAAGTCTTCCTTTAACGAAAAATTTTTAAAAAGAGCACTTCATTGTGAAGAAAAATGACCCGAGGAGGGTGAGGGGATACTGACCTGGGTCTGGAGGCTACAGACGCTAGAAGAAAGTGGCCCAAAGGGAGAAGGAAAGACAGGCCCATGAACGCTAGGAGCTAAGCAACAAAAATGAAATTCTCCTGGAGAAGGAGGTGGCAAGGTCAGACTGGGCATGGCAGCAACTATTCGTTAAGCATTTACTCTATGGCAAGAATGAACCGACTACTAGAGAAACAGTAGAAAGGCAAAGAGAGACCCTGCCCTCAAGGAACTCCCAGTCTAATCAGGTGACCACATGCAAGCACCTAGGAGCGACAATGGAAATCTGCAGGTACTGGCCACTGAGATCACGGCACTAGGGCTCGGGAAGAAAGGATGAGGGATGGCCCCCATTTCTATTAGGCTTCAAGGCTCTGAAAGGGTTACACCTATTAGATATGATCTCACTGGAGCTTCACAGGTCTTACTGACTCCCAGATGAGATAATGACACAAACAATAGAGAAATCTGCTTGTCTCCCCAGGGCAGGTCCCCAAGACTTGACACAACTCCCCAAGACTTGTCTGACGGAATGACGGCTAGCCGTTTCTGGTAATTCACGTGGGCCTAGACAATGCTTCCAGGCAGAATCTAGGAAGCATTTCCAATGGTTTACCATTGCTTGGCCAAGAAACTGACAACCCAGGGCACAGGTGGTATTTTCATCACTGTTGGCAGTAGACCTGGAGAACTTTGAAAGAGAAGGGTAGATTTGAAAAGTGAATGGTTTTTTTGAGGACATATTGTTTGAGAAAGGGATCTGAATTTCCGGATCACGACTTAAAATGTCAAGATGTAACCTTTAGCTTCAATAGCCTGTCTGTCACACAAGACACTCTGGCTACTGTTGGTGTATCTGGAAGAGTGTCTAGAATTTGGGAGCAGTAGAGTGTGGGGCTTGAAGTCAGGAAGACTTATCCCGGTCCTTTACCCGCCCTCAAGGTTTCCTCAGAGTTCAGCTCTGAGGGAAGCCAGACTTCCCAACAGAAGAAGCAGGCTCCCCAATCCTCACATTTATTGTCTTCTCTCCCCACTTAGTTTCCTGAGAAAACTTGCTAATTATATTAACGTTGCTTTTGGCTCTAGGCTAGGCTTTCCCCAGAGAAGGGGGGAAAGTAAAAAGGTACCCAATATAGAAATATGAATCAGGTATTTTAAATTTTTTATTATTTATTTTAACATTCATTTTTTAAAATTTTGAATTCTGAATTCTCTTCCTCCCATCCCACCC